CCACCTAGATGTCCCAAAAGTCTGCTCTCTCTAGCCAAAAGACCGGGAAATGGGCTGATTAGCCAGACAGAAAACTCTGAAACAATAGCCACTCTACTGTAATCAAACATCATAGAAACAAACTGCAGGCCCGCCCATGCCAGCAAAGGCCAAGTAGAAACCCAGAGTGTTACTCTTGCCAGGTTCCCCCAACACTCTCTGGGTTGGTGTCAGAAAAGGCTGGGGGCGCATTTCTGCTCAAGTCATGATCTCACAGTTTGTGAGTCTGAGCCCTGCGTAGGGCTCCATGCTGGCAGTGCAGAGCCTGCTTGGGATTCTCTCTTTTTCCCCCTCTCTCTCTGACCCTCCCCCACTCACTCTCACTCTCCCTCTAAAATAAATAAACTTAAAAAAAAAAAGGCTGAATAGGGAGGCTGGACTTCAATTCCCACAGGGTACCATGGCTTCCTCTTCCTGTTGAGTGATATCAGAATGTCAGAGGAGGACTAGTGGAGACTCAGGACTTTTAACTGCTATGCTCTGTCTCCTCCCATCCCCCTCCACTGTCCTACCATCCTTGCCCCTACCTGTACCCCCCACCCATGGTCAGTGGAAGCCACCTGGGGAGCAGGAAAGAGGCACTTCAATCCCTCCCAGCCACAGAGGTGTCAGTGGCGGTGTGGTGGGGAGCTGGAACTCCCAACCCTGCCCAGTAGCAAGAACTCTGCCTCAGGTGTCAACTGACGCCAAGGGGGGAACTTGAACTTCTGTCCCTACCTGACAGTAACCAGGCAGCAGCCTCTTCCACTGATGGCAACAGGGTCAGAAGAGCCTACCAAAAATAAGATTTAAATAAGATCAGAGTATTATAACATAATACCCAAAAATGTGTAGGATGCAATAAAAAAAAATCACTCATCATACCAGGAACCAGGACACCCTCATCTTGAATGAGAAATAATCCACAGATGTCAACACCAAGATGACAGAGAGCTTTCAATGATCTGACAAGGATTCTAAAGTGGCCAACATGGGGCGCCTGGGTGGCGCAGTCGGTTAAGCGTCCGACTTCAGCCAGGTCACGATCTCGCGGTCCGTGAGTTCGAGCCCCGTGTCAGGCTCTGGGCTGATGGCTCGGAGCCTGGAGCCTGTTTCCGATTCTGTGTCTCCCTCTCTCTCTGCCCCTCCCCCGTTCATGCTCTGTCTCTCTCTGTCCCAAAAATAAATAAAAACGTGGAAAAAAATTTAAAGTGGCCAACATAAAAAAATGCTTCAATGAGCAATTACAAAGAAGGCTGAAACAATTTTTTTTTAAGAACAAAGTCTTAGCAAAGAAATGTAATGAAGAATCACATAGAAATTTTAGAACCAAAGAATACAATAACCAAACTAAAAAACTCAGTGGATGGGCTTATCAGCAGGATGGAGAAGACAGAGGAAAGAATCAGTGAACCTGAAAATAGAACATTAGAAATTACCCAATCTGAACAACAATGGGAAAATAGAATTTTTTTTTAAAAATGAACAGCGCCTCAGAGACATGTGGTGACTATACCAAAAGACCTAACATTTGTGTCATTGGAGTCCCGGAATGAGAAGAGAAAGAAGGTGGGGCTGAAAAAAGTCCTCCAGAAATAATGGCCGAAAATTTCCCAAATTTGGCAAAAGACAAAAACCTACAAATTCAAGAAGCTGAAAAAGGCCAAACAGGATAAACTCAAAGAAACCCATGCCAAGATACATCATAATCAAACTTTTGAAAACAAGACAAAGAGAAAAATCTTGAAAAAGGCAAGAGAGAAACAACACCTTACTTACCTATGGAGGAAAAACAATTCCAATGTCAGTGGATTTCTCATGAGGAACCACAAAGGCCAGAAGGAAGTCACACAAAATATGTCAAGTGTTAAAAGAAGAGAGCTGTCAACCTGGAATGCTTTTACCTAGTAAAAATATCCTTTGGAAATGAGGGGGAAATCAAGATATCCTCAGACAAAATAAAGCTAAGAGACTATATCACCAGCAGACCCACCCTAAAAGTATGGTTAAAGGCAGTTCTCAAAACAGAAAGAATGATGAAAGAAGAAATCTTGGAACATCAGGAAAGAAGAAATAATTGAATGAGTAAAAATGGAAGTGCACACAATAGACTCTCCTTCTTTTAAGTTGTCTGAATTATGTTTGATAGTGGAAGAAATACATATAACATTGTCTGACGTGGGGCTCGATATATGTAGAGGAAATATTTAAGACAGCTGTAAAATGCCATGCTATAAGTGGGACCAGTAAAGGTGTTTAAAGGAAGGTAAGGTTTCTAAAGTTCCCTCAGGCTGATAAAATGTTGACAGGTTGATCTCTGTAGTGACAAAATAATTCTGTACCTTTGTTGCCCCAATTGTTACAGGAATCTCCACATGTGGTAAAATGGCAAAGAACTATACACACATTGCCAGTGTGGTTTTCCTAGTTTTGATATTGTACTATAATTATGTAAGATGTAATCATTGAGGAAAACTGGGTGAAGGGTACATGGGCCCTCTCTGTACTATCTATGCAACTTCCTTGTAAATCTGTAACTATTTCAAAATAATAAGTTTTTTTTTAAAAGATTGTGGCTGTTCTAGATTAAAAGTGGTTAAAGACACAAATATGATGTGGGAGCATTGATTAGATTCTGATGTTAAAAATATAAAAGGCGGTTTGGGGGAATTTGAATACAGACTAGACATTAGATGCTATTAGATGATGGGAAATTATTGCTAATTTTCTTAGATGTCATAATAATATTGTGGTCATGTAGGAGAATACAAGATATATGCTGAAGTATTAGGGGCAAAGTGTGATTAAATCTGTAACTTGCATTCAGATGGTTCCGAAAGCAATGTAGCTAGATGATAGATGGATAGATCGAATATAATAAAGACAATGCCAATTGTTGAGTCTATGAGGAAGATAGACTCTTATTGTACTATTCTTTCAACATTTCTGTATGTTTGTGGATTTTCATTTAAAAAAAGTTGGAGAGAATATGTGGAGGATAGATACATAGTAAAATGTTAATGAAAATCCAGGTGGCAATTGGGTGTTTATTCCCTGTAAAATTCTTTCAATTTTTCTGTATGTTTGAAAATTTTCATGTGAAAATGTAGAGGTAAAAAACTTGAAGAAAGAGAATCACAGCCCAGCGTCCTCCCCGTAGCATTCCCAACACCCTCTTCTCTGATCGACTTTTCTCTTTTTCCCCACAGCAGTTACCACCTTACATATTCTATAATTCTCTTATTTATTATGCTAGTTTTTGTCTGTATCCTCTCACTAGAATGTAAGCTCCCCAGGGATTTATCGTGTTTTGTTCTGTTTGCATCTATGACCCCAAATCACGGAACAGTGTCTGCACATAGCAAGTGTCAGATGAATGTTCATTGAATTAAGAATGAATTTCTGTATCCCTAGGACCTAGGTGGAAGTCTTGCATAGAGTAGGTGTGCAATGACTGTTTGTGGGATTGAACTGAGATCTACATTCTACAGGAGAACTTAGAATAGACCTGTTGTACTACAGTGATTCAGAGCATGGGCTCTTGAATCAAATACCCAGGATCTGTATCCTGATTCTGTCACTTCCAGCTGTATTACCATCTCTGAGCCTCAATATAGAGTTAATAGGTGTAGTGACATTTCTGACCCTCAATTTCTCGATTGGTAAAATTAAAATAATGACAGTAGCACCTTGGTAAGATTTTTGTTTGCATGTAAAGCACTTAGGACTTTGTAAAGACTCAATAACTGGTAGTCAACGACAAAACAAGAACAGCAAAAAGACGGTCTTCCCTGCATGTCATTCTTCCTCCATCCCCCAACAGGCTGCTCCAGGGAGGCTAAAGAGATGTCCTTCGACAAGTATTCCTAAGTTCTTCTCCGGGCCCCCTGGAATGGTTTCTCTCATTTCAGATGTCTTCTTACCTTTCCTTCTGCCCTAGACTCTCTTTCCTCTTGGCATCCTGAAGCTCTTTCTCCCATCATAACTGTGCAGGAGAGGGGCGAAGGAGACAGGAGCCTGTGGGCCAGGGACAAGAGCTTACAACTTTCTTTTCCTTCTGTTCTAGGCTGGAGCCCCCCACTAGTGATGGAAGCAGGTCAAGTGTGAGATTGCGGTCATTTCAGGGCCTAGAGGTTGAGAGAACAATAGTCTTGAGGAGGAGGCACTAGCAGGAGAGTAGCCTCATATGCTGCCCTCTTCCTTGGTCCCCTGTTAAGAAAGATCACCTTCCTGGCCCTGCTCCAACGTCCCTTTGGTCCGTTCTGCTGCTTCAAGTCTTTACTTCTGGTAGCCCCAGCTCAGAGCAAGCCCAGGGACCCATTGAGCATCTCCCTGCAATTCCCTCTTGGAAGTGGGGTGGGGTGGAGTGGGCAGAGGATGGGCTGAAATTGGAGATATGGGGGCATTAGATTAGGGGCTGAGCTCACCCGTGGCCCCAGTCCCCTGCCCCCGCCTTAGGGTCGGCGGTACCCCAGATATCTGGAGAGCTAGGGCTGAGCCTGGGGGCGCCACTGCCTCTGTTCCTTTAAGTAGCCGCTGTTTAGCATTCCTGCCGCTGCCGCTGCCGCTGCCGCTGCCTGACTCTGCACGCTGATTGGCTGGAATCAACTGAGAAGGGAGCCAGGGAGAGATGCTCTTGACTCCACTCAGATCCATCCTAGGGACCAGTGAAGGAGCGGTCCTCTCAGCACCCAGCCTCTGCCCAGGCTTCCGCTTCTTCTTTGCCGCTGGGCCTTGGCCCAGGAGCCACGACGGGCGACACGGAGCCGCCAGTGCTGGAGGGGGAGCCGTGGGTGCGGGGCAGCGTGGGGGCAGAAGCCCCGGGACGCCCGCCCGGCCCCAGGCCCCGCTCCGCCAGAGCACCCCCACGGGTGCCCCCCCCTTCCTGGTCCGAGCAGTGTGAGTGTGCCCGGGAGCCCAGCGGCGGCGGCGGTGTGGAAACCGGCGTGGGCTGGGGGGTCCGGGCGGCGGGGGGCAGTGCCATGCACAAGCACCAGCACTGCTGTAAGTGCCCGGAGTGCTATGAGGTGACCCGCCTGGCTGCCCTGCGGCGCCTCGAGCCTCCTGGCTATGGGGATTGGCAGGTGCCCGACCCCTATGGGCCAGGTGCGGGCAATGGGGCCAGCGCGGGTTATGGGGGCTACAGCTCGCAGACCCTGCCCTCACAGGCAGGGGCTACCCCTACGCCCCGCACCAAGGCCAAGCTCATCCCCACCGGCCGGGATGTGGGGCCAGTGCCCCCTAAGGCAGTCCCGGGCAAGAGCACCCCCAAACTCAACGGCAGTGGCCCCAGCTGGTGGCCCGAGTGCACCTGTACCAACCGGGACTGGTATGAGCAGGTATGGACCAGCAGTGGTTGGGGGGGAGCGGTGGGGCAACCCAGGGGGTCTGGAGAGTGGAGGCCTAGAGGCCTGGGGTTGCAGCAGGGGTTCCTGGAGGCTTCAAGCCAGTGGACCCTGTGCCCTAGCATTTCACCTGGGGCAAGAGAGGCGGTTAGAAATGTGTGCTTCCCTGTGTGTGTCTGTTTGGGGGTCTCCATTTGGAGGGGGTTGGGAGGAGCTGTGTGTGTCAGGAGGTGAAGGTATGGCGGAGGGGCACATTTTCCTGTGTGGGGGAATTGGGTTTGTCTCAGTGCGGGGGTGGGGGGGAATTAGCAGCGTCTCTGTGTCTGGCAGGGGGCGGGAGGTTCTGTGGGGGCTGTGTGTGGTGTGTGTCTCCACAGGAGAGGAGGAGGGGGCATGGTGCTCTGCGTAGGGGGGACATATGTGTGTATGTGTGTATGTATGTTAAGGTGTGGGGAGGAAGGCAATGGAGCTCCTGTGAATCTATGTAGAGGAGCCCATGTGCCCGGCTCGTTGAGCTTCTTCCCTCAATGCCATGGGTCCCTTTCCGTCCCAGTCCCTTTGTGTGTGAATGTGCACATGGACATGTGGGGATGTCTCTTTGAATGTGGAGGTATCTCTGTAGATGAGGCTGCAGAGATAGCTGTGTTTGCCAGTGTGTGTGGCTACATGTATGTGTGTGTGAGCATGTGGCTCAAGTGTGTGCACGCGTGTGCCTGTGTGTGTGTGTGTGTGTGTGTGTGCGTGTGGTGTCCCTGGTGAGAGGCGCTTGACAGGCAAGGGAGGGGAGCGGGAGGAGGCAAGAGACACGTCCCAAGCAAGGCTGAGAGGCTGCTGAGAAGGACGGTCTCTTTTGTCCAAGCAGCTCTGAAGTGTGTGTGTGCTGGGGGGTCCAAGGGGAGGGGGTGGGGGGACTGAAGCAAGCTTCTTTGCTCCAGAGCAGGCATGGTGCCTGGAGCCAAGCAAGGGGCAGCTGTCCTGGTGCAGGACTGGCCCCAGTGGGGCATGTCCCCCTTGGGCATCTCCAGATGTGAGAGAACTTGGCCCCCGAGCCCTGACTTGGCACAGCTTGGGAACCCCTGGGTGCTGGGCACAACTCCGGCTTCCACTCCCAATCTAAACTGCCAGCTTAGAAAATGGAAGGAGCATCTGTGGGAGAAGCAGCAAAATGGAGGCTGGGCCGGCAGAGCGAGGTCCTTGGCATGCATAGCGGAGGGCCTGTCTGGTTATTTGGCTCTGCGGCCCCCAGGTTAGGGAGAGAGGAGAAGGAGGCTTTGCTGTGGAGGGCAGGTGCTGACTGCCCCAAGCTGGTGACCGTTCTGGCCACCTCTGTCCTCCTCTGGGGATAGAAGGTGCTCTTACTCAGGAGCAAGGGTGGGGACTTCCCGGGGAGAGGAGTCCTCAGTACTGGCCTTCTGTCTGTCCACACTTACTGCTTCCCGTGTCCCTTGCCTTGGCTTCTTGCCCTCTCCAGTGAGTCCCCCTCTTTCCTTTTCCCCTGTATCCTGGAGCCCTACCCTTGCAAACACTCTCTCATGTTTGTCCTGCTCAACTGGCAGACAGGTGCCAGTCCCAAGGCTAGGCAAGTTGGTCAAGGTTTCTTTGCCAGGGCTGCTCCCTAGATGGCTCCTGGCCCCAGAGGCTGGGGCCCCGAGCGGGGCAGTGGGAGGCTGGAGGATGGACCAGCAGGAGCTGGGAGCCTCTGGGCCTCACTGGAGCTGGGCTGGAAGCATGGCTTATCACATGTGGAAACACATGGCATACCAGATGCATACGAGAGCTGCATGGGTGTACTTTTGCTTGTGTGTCTGTTGCATCTTTCTTTAGGAAGCTGTTTTGGTTTCAGGGCTCTGAAAGGCAATTGGTTCTTCCTCCTGGGATCAGGGACCAGAGTGGGGCTGCAGCTGGAGTCAATCCCACCAACTCCCAGGGCTGCAGGGCGTAAAGTCCTGGGGTCAGGCCCTGAAAAGGTGGAGGCATGACTAGTCAGCCCTCCTCCTGCCCTCTCTGCTTCTCCAAGCCAAAGCTGCGTGGAGGGAGAGCAGAACAGGACATGAGAAGGAGCCCCCACCCTAGGTTTGCAGCTCCCTTCAGAGGATGACGCCAGGGGTCAGGAAAGGGGCAATGTGGCCAGAGAAAGATGAAGGAGGGGGCGCTGGGATACCCCGGGAGAGAGGCAAGGGAGTTCCTCCATTCTTGGGGATGAGAGGGGGAGCCAGGAAGCAGGTACTACTTGTCTTTCCAGGATCACATTTTCACTTGACAATGGCCACCAAGTATGTCTTGTCTGGGAGGCCACTTCTGTGGGCTGGTCAGAACAATCCTTGTTTCCATCCCCTTCCCTTGCCTTTCCTCCCATGGCTACTGTATACTGGAGGCCATGGACACTGCTGCTAGTCGTCCAATGGGTCATTAGCTTTTCCCTCATGGGGAATCTTGCCCCCTCTACTCCTTTCCTGCCCCTGGCTTTGCCTCTGACTCCCAACCAGATCCTACCCTGGCTTTTTCTGCTGGGAAACACAAAGGGTTCTGGATCAAAAGCCCCTTGGTAGAAAATGGAGTCAGACTTTGACTCCTTCTGCCCATTTGAAGAATTGGGTTCCTGGGAACACAGAGGAAACACAGAATGAGGATTCCTGGGGTATTCTGAAGGGTGCAACTTTCCTTTTCTCATGAGTTCTGCTGGGGAAGGAAACGAGCAGCCAAAACATCAGTAGCCCCGGCAGCTTGATGTAATCAAAAGAGTATCTGGGGGCGCCTGGGTGGCGCAGTCGGTTAAGCGTCCGACTTCAGCCAGGTCACGATCTCGCGGTCCATGAGTTCGAGCCCCGCGTCAGGCTCTGGGCTGATGGCTCAGAGCCTGGAGCCTGTTTCCGATTCTGTGTCTCCCTCTCTCTCTGCCCCTCCCCCGTTCATGCTCTGTCTCTCTCTGTCCCACAAATAAATAAACGTTGAAAAAAATTAAAAAAAAAAAAGAGTATCTGGAGATCCATGTTCTAGCCCCTGCCCTGCCACTAACTCCCAGTGTGCTCTGAGGTACAACCTGTATCCTCTCTGGGCCACAGTGTCACCATCTGTCACATGAGGGAGGTTGGACAAGATGGTGTCTGCTGTCCTACCAGTTCTGACATGGTGGGAGTCTGTGATCCCTGAGTCAGGGAGAGCTATGATTCAGAAGGGGACTAGGTCCCCATTGAGGCCACTGGGTGCCCCCCTGAATGTGAGGTGTGGCGTGGTTTGCCTGCCATGTTCCATTTCTGCCATCCCCCTCAGGCCAGCCCTGCACCCCTCCTAGTGAACTCTGAAGCCCTGGAGCCCAGTCTCTCAGTGGGTGCACCACTGGCTGGCTCAGTCCCAGACAATTGATCTGGGCTAAATGCGTTTGGCCTGGTATGGCTGGAAGCAAGGGAAGGATGTGGTCTCCTCAGGGTCAGCCTGTCCCCATCGGTGGCCAAGAGGTGTTCTCAGGGCAATTCGGGCTCCTACTCTTTGGGGAGTGGGGCAGGAGTAGGTTGACCAGGAGCAGATGGGGGGGAGGGCAGGAATCACTCAGAGCCTGTGTCTCCCCCTAGGTGAATGGCAGCGACGGCATGTTCAAGTATGAGGAGATAGTACTTGAGCGGGTGAGTCTGCCAGTGGGTCAGGATGAAAGGGAAGGGGAGGGTTCAAACCTGAAAAGGAAGGGCCCTGCACCTGGGTCTCAAGACTCATGGGGTGGGGGCGGGGAAGGGGGGAACCTGCATTGAGAGGATGGGGAAACAGCGCCCCTCAGAGGCTACATACTGCACCAATCAATCAACCAACTAACAAATACTAATTGACCTTGCTCTCTGAGGCCTGGGGAACTGGGGAGGGGCTAGCTTCGCTGAGTCTTCTGTGCTATAATGGTCAGCACAGGCTGGGAAGCTGTGTGCTGGTTTGCCATGGCCCCCTCTGAGGCCCGGAGAACCCTCTCTGAGGGGTTGGAGGAAGTGAGGAAATCAAGGACCCTCCCTCATGCCCTCTGAGTGAGCAGACTGTGCTCCCCTTTGCCCCCTTCTGCAGGGCAATTCTGGCCTGGGCTTCAGCATTGCAGGTGGCATCGACAACCCCCATGTCCCTGATGACCCTGGCATCTTTATTACCAAGATCATCCCTGGTGGAGCAGCTGCCATGGACGGGAGGCTGGGGTGAGGTGGCCTGGAAGCAAGGCTGCGGGTAGCAGGGGCAAGATGGAGATGAGGGGAAGAGGGCTACCTGGCAGGATGACCCTTTTTATTAGAGCTGAGAGGGGGCAGGGGAGGGGAGGGGAAGGAAGGAGGATGTGGTGGAAGAGGGGGTGGAGGGGCAGTGGCAGGATGTCATGCCTCTTGGGCTTCCCCTGCAGGGTGAATGACTGTGTGCTTCGGGTGAATGAGGTGGACGTGTCGGAGGTGGTGCACAGCCGGGCTGTGGAGGCGCTGAAGGAGGCGGGCCCTGTGGTGCGGTTGGTGGTGCGGAGGAGACAGCCCCCACCCGAGACCATCATGGAGGTCAACCTGCTCAAAGGTCCCAAAGGTGCGGCCCTCTGGGTTCCTGGTTGGCTCTTCAGGAAATGGAAGGGAACAGCCTTACTCCTTGCCTGACTCCCTGTTCTAGCTCACAGGCTTCTTCCTTGACCTCACATCTCATTCACCCTTACTGACCTTGGGATGGCAGCCTAGTGTTTGGGATCCCTGGGGGGAGCTCCTGTGGGGTCAGAGGGTTGGCTGCGGTGGGGAGTTGGGTCTGGGATTGACTGAGTGCGCTAACTTCTCCTTGTGGCCCTCTCCCACTCCCTTTGGGCCCCCACCCAGGCCTGGGTTTCAGCATTGCTGGGGGGATTGGCAACCAGCATATCCCGGGAGACAATAGCATCTACATCACCAAGATCATCGAGGGGGGTGCTGCTCAGAAGGATGGACGCCTACAGATTGGGGACCGACTGCTGGCGGTGAGACAACCTTCCTGGGGATGCCCAAATGGTAGGGTGGGGAGGTGGGGCTCTAGGAGCCTCTCCCTCCGCCTGAACCCCACTCAGGGACTAGCATCATGGGGCATTTCAAGAGCATCATCTGAGTTGTGTGTACTCAGATACCAAGGCCCTACCCAGTTCTTTTCATGGCTAAGACTCCCTCACCTGTTCCATGTCATGCTTCTCCACTTCTCACAGCGCTATACTGGGCCCCTGCTAGAGCACTGTTGAATTTCACGGAAAGGGCACCCTTCAGGGTTACCTGGAAAGGCCCTCCCTTCTCCCAAGTGCCAGCCCTAAGGCCTCTCCTCTTCTAGGTGAACAACACCAATCTGCAGGATGTGAGGCACGAGGAAGCTGTGGCTTCACTGAAGAACACGTCTGATATGGTGTATCTGAAGGTGGCCAAGCCAGGCAGCCTCCACCTCAACGACATGTATGCACCCCCTGACTACGCCAGCAGTACGTACCCATCTGCCCTGTCCCTGGCCTTAAGCCCCTGCCCCCCTGGTTTCTGGAGGGGAAAGAATTCAAACCCCCCATTCAGAGAGTGAGTGAGCGCAGAGGACTAGTGCTCAGGAGAACTGAGTCCACATTCCAGCTTTGTTTGCCCCTTATAGCTGGGTGCCCTTGGACGAGTCCCTTTCACCTGTCTTTAGTTTCCTCTTTGGCAAAAAGGAGCTAATGATATATGTGCTGCCTTCCTCATAGGACTGCTGCAAGGATCAAATAAGATCATGGACAAGAAAGCCCTTGAAAAACCGTATTAGGCTATAGAGATGTGAGGGATTATTATTAGTCACACCTCTAGTCATGCCTTTCTTTGTAGACTGCTTGACTTTAGCTCTTTCTAAGACTCACAGGAGTGAGCCCAGGATTCAGAAAGGGACTGTGGAGGAGGAACCCGGGGGTGGGGGTGGGGTGGGGAGAGGGGAGGGGAGGCCTGAGGAATCAACATCCCTTGGTGGCTTTTGCACCGGAGGTAGGGTGTGGGGCACAGTCCTTGTCGGGGTGGGGTAGGGACCCACATGGAATGGTCTCTGAACTTTTCTCTCCTTTTCTTGATTCTAGCTTTTACTGCCTTGGCTGATAACCACATAAGCCATAATTCCAGCCTGGGTTACCTTGGGGCTGTGGAGAGCAAGGTCAGCTACCCTGCTCCTCCTCAGGTTCCCCCTGCCCGCTACTCTCCTATCCCTAGGCACATGATGACTGAGGAGGACTTCACCAGGTAAGACTCCCACAGCTTCATCCTCTCTAGGGATGAGGAGAATGGGACTCCGTTTCTGGCTAGCCACAGGTCTTCCCTTGTAGTATGGCAAAGAAGAGATACAGCCCTCATCAATTGTCTTTGGGGTCTGAGGCCCTTTCTTAGCCCTTAGGGCCCTAGGGAGGGACTGAGGTAGCTGCAGGGACAAGTTCCACCATCAGGGGGAGTGCCAAGTGTGTGCCCCGATCGGAAAGTACAGAGAAAGGGTGGGATGGAGCGCTTAGGGGGCTGAGAAGGTGGCGGCTGCGGGGGTTTCCTTCCCCGACACAGGTGCTGCCCCCTCTGCTGCAGTCATTCTAAATTAGAAAAAAAAAAAAAAAGCAGTTCAGGGTTGGCGGGACGCTGGGAGGCTGGCGGGCCCGGTGGCCTCCCAGGGAACGGCCCCGCCCCACTCTGGCGGCGGCCGTGGAACTGGTCGGGCCGGCCCGGGTTCCGGGGGACAGGTTTGCCGCGGGGTGGGGCCTGGTAGACTACTGGGCAGGCTGCAGTGGAGCCGGAAGGGTAGGCGGACGGGGGGAGAGCTGGACGCTCCATGGAGAGGGCACGCAAGTTCTCAGGCTCCGGCTTGGCCCTGGGCTTGGGCCCGGCCTCAGCCTCGGCCTGGAGGAGGGCTTCGCAGAGGTGGGCCTGGCCGCTCCGCTCCCTGCGGCCTGGAGGGGATGCCAGGTAGGAGGAGAGGGGGGATTTGAGCCAGAGCATCCGGGACTCAGGGAGGGAGACTCGCACCCTAGACTAGAGGCAACAAAGGAGGAGTCTTGGACTTTGGGCTCCTCTGATGAAAGATGTTAAAGTGAAGGCGGTGGGCCAGGAAAGTGTGCCAGGAGTCGGGTTGTATGGGTATACAGGAGCGGCTGTAACTCTTACCTGATGACACTGACCACTTCCACAGGGATTCCTTAGACATGGTTAGTTGCAGTTGAAGTTTTCCTGTGTTAACTCTCTTAAGTTAGGCTCCTAAGCTCCTTCCAGGCACCTGGGATTTCTTTATCTGTCTCCCACATCACCTGGCAAGGGCACATAGTGGTAGCTGGTGACCAAATCTGTCATTGGGGAAGATAGAAGGGGTCATAGTGGGTGGGTGGAATTTTGAGACTGTGGAGGTGCATGTGTAAAGTAAGTATGTACATATTGTGGATGGTGAGTGCAGTCAACCCCCGGTGATTCCATTGCTCCCAACTGGTTCCCCTTGTCGTGACCCAGGTCCATCACACCGGTGGTAGGATAGGAGAATCTGGAGAGAAAGAAGACCAGTAAATGGGCCCTGAGATGATGATGGTCTCTAGACAGGGTAGGGGTGTGTTGAACTGAGAGAGTAGGGGATTGTCCACAGGGAAGCTGACTCCAAGTCCTCAGGAAGAAGGGAGGGAAGAGGAACTGAAACTTGGCACCTGGCAGAAAACAGCAGCCAAGCAGGTTTCAGGAGAGGAAGGAAGCAACAGGGTATCATACATAGGGACCTAAGTCATTCTGCAGCAATGTGGGCCTTGCCCTAGGCTGGCCCTGACAGGGAGGACAGTTTATATCCACCTTGTCCTGACCCTTCACCTTCTTTCCCACCAGAGAGCCCCGCAAGATCATCCTGCACAAGGGCTCCACAGGCCTGGGCTTCAACATCGTAGGAGGAGAGGATGGAGAAGGCATTTTTGTCTCCTTCATCCTGGCAGGAGGCCCAGCTGACCTGAGTGGGGAGCTGCGCAGGGGAGACCGGATCTTATCGGTGAGGAGACAAAGGAGAGGTGGGAGGATGGGAGCTGTGCCAATCGAAAAGGGAGGAGGGGAGATGTTGCCTTCTCCAAGGAATACTTCTTGAGATGGGGGAAGGCTGAGCTGGAGAAAACTTATATTCTCTTTATAGATGACCTTAGGGAAAGACAGGGACTGAGACCAGACTTAGCCTTGAAGAGAAAATGAGTGTGTGTTGGATCTTAACCACGGTTGGCACTTGACCTGCACAAAGATAATTATGACACTAGAGATGTCATATTCTTTAGGTCCTGTCTTAGGGACAAGGATGGGAAATTGAGAAAGACATCTGATGAGGCTTAGGGATGAGCTCCCTCTCCTGACTGCTATGACAGAGGACTGCCTTTCTTGCTTTTGGGGTGGCTCATAGCTCCTCTTTTTGGACAGGTGAATGGCGTGAACCTGAGGAATGCAACTCACGAGCAGGCTGCAGCTGCCCTAAAACGGGCTGGCCAGTCTGTCACCATTGTGGCCCAGTACAGACCTGAAGGTAGGAGAAGGAAGGTTGCACGAGATGATTTGGGGAATTTAGACTTAAGTGTTGACTTTTTGCCATCATAGGTATCCAAGCCACTTGATCAGGTCCCTTCCACCTTAGTGCAGTAACCTCTTCTCTCTCGTTTTCCTTCTGGACGGGGCATGGGGAGGGGTAGGTTTGGGTAGCTTGTGAGCATCTATCCAGGCTGTGCTCAGAGCCTGCTGATCAGGGCTGCAGTGCAGCACAAGGCCAGTAGTGGGCAGCAGCCTACGGAAGGAAGCACAGAGATGGGGCGACTGGAAAAAGGGGAGGGGGAGAGGGGCGGAGGCGCAGGGCTCAGAGACCCAGAGACGCAACTGTGGCCCAGGAGAAGAGTGGCTCTTGGTTAGAAGGATCTTGGTTAGAAGGGAAAAGACATCTGACCTCTTAGGAGGTCTTGGCCCAAACCCCTAAGCCCCCCACTTCCTTCCTATCATCAGGGTGACTGTGAAAGACCCATAAATGCACTGGAAAGGTGATGCTAGGCCGTCGGGGTAGGGAGTCCGGAGTGGACCTCCTCCCGCTACGGGGGGGCCTTCTTTGTGTTCTCAGGGAGCGGGCCCCTGACTGGGGCGAAAGGGCGGGGCTGGACATGCAAATGAGGGCATTTGATTGGCTGGGGCCCGCCAAGGCCCAGGTGCCGAGGTGAGCTGCGGGATGGCGCGCCCTAGTCAGCCGGCCGGCAGAGTGGCCATTGGCGGGCCGAGCGCGGCCTCCAGCCGCACGCTCCGCCCCGTGACCCAGGCGGAGGGCGGCGGGCGCCCCTCCTTCCCCCCCCCCTCCGCGCCTCAAGCGTCTCCTCCTCCTCGCTCCCCTCTCCTCCCCCTCCTCCCCTCTTCCCGCGCGCCCCGCTTTGTGTCCGTGGTCTCCCGCGCGGGACGGAGGGGCTGTCCGGAGCTGGCGCTTTCTCAGCACTAGATCTGAACTCCGACCCGGCGCCAGGTGAGGTGGGGCGGACGAGGGTCAAGCCCCCTCGCAGTCCCCCCTAGCCTCTCTACGGTTCTGTTCTCAAACTCTCTCTTTTCCGACACTGCGCCCCCAACTCTGCGCTCTTCCCGGAATCCCTTTGCCGCACGCCCGCAGCCCTGTATGGCGCGCAGCTTTGGAGTACCCCCCCTACTCCGAGAGCCCCCCTCTCGGCCCCAGGGGAGCGCCGCCCGGGACTGAGCGCCCGCTCTCCCGCCACTGGGCCCTGTCTGGCCTTCACCTCCTGGCCATCACCTCTCTTCATTCACGAACTGTACCCCTTTTCGTCCCAGGACCTGTGCCCTCCCCTCGGCCTCCGCGTCCCCACAGCTCCCTAGTCCCCTTTCCTCAGAGGAATTTTCTGTCCCCCTCCCCCACGCGCATTAATCCGCCAAACCTGGCTACCTCTGGGAACACCCGAGATTGGTTTGGTAGTCTCAGGACCCCACCCCCACCTCCGCTTTTGTTTGCAAGGGTTTTCATCCTGCTCCCGACTTCTTTCGCCTCCCCCTCCTCTTTGTAAGCCCAGCCTTTGTCCCTTAGGGCTGCAGCGCCCGGGCTCCTTGGACACCTAAGCCCCTTGAGCCGGTTACTGAGGTGGAGGAAGGGACCTCTCTCGGGCAGGTGCTACGGTTCCATGATAAGAAGGGGAGAGGCCGGGAGCCCAGGCGCAAAGCTGTTAAGAGATCGAAAGCGCCTACCTTTGTCCTTTCCCCCCTCCCCCGCCCCCCACTCTCCTTCAGTGCCTCCAGCCGAGGGCCCAAAGGGGAAGAAGAGAGGGGCTGCCACCTTCTGCTCTAGGCTTTTTTGGTGGGGGTAGAAGTGTGGGAGGTAGCTAACCGGAGAACTTGTAAGTCTGAGGTAATGGGAAAGAGGAATGCAAATGGCCACTTTGAGTCATTTCTCTCCATGTTTGGTGGTCGGTTAATGACAAGAAACACACCTTAGGGTTATTGTTTTGTTTTTTCTTTTTATTTCTGCGTGTGCTCTTTGCTTCTCAGTGGAGAGCTATCCATCTGAGTTTTATTAGCAACTAGTATTTATCAGTTCATGCCCATAACTTAGATAACGGTAGGTTCTGCAAAGAAAATGGTTTCTCTTGCATATTTGTGTGTGTGTGTGTGTGTGTGTGTGTGTGTGTGTGTATGTGTGTGTGTGCGCGCGCGTGTGTATAGGAGAAATTGATGCATTTCTTTCGGTTCTGCTCTGTGATGTTGGGCACATGGAAACAATACTGTGAATTTGTCTGGTGGTAGTGTGTTGGAAACTGGTGACTACATATTTCTATGAGTTTTGTTGGGAGGATGTAACTGGTTTGCATAAAAAGCTGCAAGTTGTCCATGGTAAAAGGATTCATTCCTGCCAGTGTTTATTGCTCTCTGCGCATATTTCTGAGAGTTTATAATGTATGTTGAGGTGCTGTCCTATGTTAGGTCTCTCTGCCACTTGCTAAACAAAGCTTTTCTTAGGATTTAGTCGAACCACTGTTAAGGCTCTGCCACTCCAGCCTTATTTATTTCTTTGGTTTGGTAAACCCAGCAGGGGCCCAACATGCAAAAGCTTTTTTTGTTGTCGTCCTGTTCAAAAATGGACCCTTAGAGACAGGTCCAGAGGGACTATGAAACATTCCGCATTGGGCTCTGTATTTTCTTTGATAAACTGATAGCTTTAAAAAATAAAGATTCCATGTTGATCACTTTATGAACATATTAAATACTGTTCTTTGGGAGATTGTATCACATGGCCATTTACAAAATGAATAATCCAACTATATGTTTGTTGGCTAAAATGGCAAAGACTTTGCATGTTATGGACCAAATAGGTGTTCATTATTTGTATTATTTTCACATAGAATGTGGGAGCTGGAAAGGTTTGTGTAGTAGTCCAACTCGTCTTTGTGCAAACCGGAACAGGAGAGCAAGGACATGACTTGCCTAAGGTCATGAAGGGAATGTTGCGGGGTGGGGGTGGAGGGTGGTTGGTGGTCAGCAGTCGGTTTAATTTGGAGGTCCACCAGTTAGGACAAACTGTGCCTGGGAATACCTGAGAGGACCTAAGACCTAGTTGGAGTGGAGGAACAACAGGAAAGGAACTGGGGGAATAAAGAAGAGAGACTAGGGAAAGACTGAGGGAAAGAAAGATGTATGGGCAGGGGTAGATTAGAGTGAGCTCCATAGTGGCCACTGAGCTCCATTGCCAAGCCAGTGCAGCCTTTAGATACATTTAACATGAGAGCTTAAGCAATAGCTTTGGGTGCCTGGTTGGCTCAGTCAATTGAGCGTCCGACCTCGGCTCAGGTCATGATCTCACAGTTCATGAGTTCAAGCCTCATATCGGGTTCGTGGCTGTCAGGGCAGAGCCCACCTGGGATCCTCCGCCCTCTCTGCCCCTTCCCCCTCTTGCGCGCTTTCAAAAATGAATAAAACATAAAAAATAGCTTTGACTAATTGGAACAGAGTAAGAATAATTTTTCTTTTTTTTAATGGCTTAAATAAAATTCATATACCGTACAGTGCACCCATTTAGGTATACAATTCAGTGGCTTTCAGTGTATTTTAGAACATGTTCATTACCCCTCTCCTTTTAAAACAGAGAGTGTTTAAGCATTGGAAGGGTGGTAAGTGTAGGTAGGACAATTGCTTCCTAGTGTATCTCCCCTCAGCACTTAGGGGCTGGATGGCAGCTTGATGGGAATGTTTTAACCCTGAGGTTCTTTCATGTATCTGGTTTGTTCAGTGTGGGTTAAACCTATAATGAAGATATGAAACCATGTCTATTTTAATTCCGTATTGTGCCTAGCATGGGTGCTTTACGTGTATTTTTATGATGAAACTTTGGAAAATATTAAAATAGGAATAGAAATGCTAAATGATAAGGTGCCACAGTGAGAGATGCTATTTAATAGTTTCACTCTTGATTGCTCTAAACTGTTGTGGACACAGCAATCCTACCTATTAGCTAAAAATAGCATGATGTTCTTGGGCACGTATAATCCTGCTTAAAATTCAAATTGAAAATTTAAACAACTGGCTTTTGGCAAAGGCTCTCTCCCAATCTATTCTAAAATGAAAAATATTTTTCTGTGATTTGTGAAATTGCTCCACCAAGGGAAGGATGGGCTTCGTGTACTAACATTTTAATTTAGAAACTATCTCCTACATTTCCCCCCCTAGTTACTTTATGTCAGCCTCTGTTTATAAGCTGAGCTAGTATTTTTCTGGAAAGCCCTTTTGTTTTTAGAGTAAACCCTGAGCCCCAAGTCAGGAGGTGAGCCAGAAATTGGTCACTAAGGTAGCTAAACTGGGAACTGATCTTTTGTGACCAGTCTTTCCACCTGGCATGTAAGTCCAGACAGGCTGGGGGTAAGGGAGTGAGAGAGAATGAGTTTTCCATACTTAACTTTAAAGTGCTGAGTAAGCACACTTTCATCTTGGAAATGCCTGCAGGTAAGGCCTCAAAGAGTTAAGGATTAGTGGTGATAAGGACTTGAAGGCATAAAAGGAGTGTTTTTCCCATAACACTTAAGTAACCATCCCATCTCCCCTTGTTTGAGAATGAAAGATGTAAACATAGCTGCTGCCCTATCAGTGTGATCTCTCTTGAGAGCACAGAGGTGAAAGTTTATCAAGGCAAAGAATTAAACTTTTGAAACTCCTTCTGCTATCCTGAAAGAAGGCTAATGTAGGGAAGGCAGAAAATGAAGTCCTGTTAACAGCATTTCTGCACCGAACAGTTTAAAGGCAGCTCCTATTGCATTCATGTTTGTGTCCCCACCACTTAGTCTACAGCCTGTCCCATGTTTTGTGGTACTGAATTAGTGAGTATGTCTGTGTTCCAGATGGCTTTGTAAATATCAATCTTCAGGATATCCCTGCGGGATAGGTGGTATCATCCCCATTGTACAGATGAGGAAGGTGAGGGTCAGAGAGGTTGAGTGACTTGCTCAAGGTCACACAGCCAGTAAAGGGCAGAAGCAAAGTTCCAAATCAGATTTCCTGAGAACTTCA